GTCCCTTGGGTACCTTTGTTTTTCTTGATTAAAAGTAAAGATACAGGGCCGGCCCGGTGGCGCACTGGATCAGTGCGCCGCTTGGGAAGCGTGGCGGCGCTCCCGCCGAGGGTTCGGATCCCACATACAGACCGGTTCCCGCTCACTGGCTGAGCGAGGTGCGGACGCAACACCGAGGGTTACGATCCCGTTGCCGGTCCTGGTCCGGTACGGGCGCGACACTGAGGGTTGCGATCCGTTGCCGGACACGAAAAAAGACAAAAAGGAAAAAAAAAAAAAAAAAAGTAAAGATACAACTGCCCTCCTTCTTGCCCTGAACACAAACATGACATCTAGAGCTACAGCAGTCATATGGCAACCACGAGGCAACAAACATATGGGTGAAAGCCAACATGCTAAAGATAGCAGAGCACAAAGGCAGAAAATATTTTGGTCCTACACTGCCTACAGCAGTTCCGGATCACCTGAACTTCTTGTTACATGGGAAGAGACAGGAAAACATTTGCCTAAGTCCCTCAAGTTTAGCTTTTGTTACTTTCAGCCAAACACTTTACTGATACATGAAGCTTTAAAATCCTGGAGAAACATAGTATTGATTAGGTGCCATCAATTTTTCAGAAAAGAAGCTGCCTCACATTAAAATCATGTCTTCTCTGCATTTCACCAGTTTTTTTTTAGATTAACAAATTCCTATTTCAAGAAGAAAACATCCTCGGAAAAGTTGTGTGTAAATTATGTTTTAATAAAAGTAACTTTAATTACTTTCCTTTTCATATGTATCTGAGATCCTAAGCAAAAAGAAAAATGGAAATAATAATTGGACAATAATATAGCTAGGACTTTCACTAGTTACCAGGGTTAAAAACATATAAACAATGAGATGCTATTTTTTTTCCAATCAGCCTAGCAAAACCAAAGTCAGTTACTATTTTCTACAAACAAGAGCTCTGAAGAGATCCCATTAACTTTTTTTTTAATTAAGTTAAATTCTTACATACATTACCACATAGAATGGGAGGTAAATTGAGAAAGAATAATTTAACTTTTTATTGTTAGGTATCCCTTTTTTAATACTGTAATATAAAACAGATACAAAAAACAACCCAAATCAAATGCACAGCTTAAAAAAGTATTGGAAGGTAATTGCCCTTGTATCCAACAACCTAGCAAGAAATAGAACTTGACCACCCAGCCCAGAAAGCTCATCCATGTGCCTCATCCCAATCACAATCCCCTCTCTAACTCCCAGTAAGCATCATCCTGACTTTCATAGTAATGACTTCCTTATGTCTTTTCAAGTTTTGTCAGTCAAGTGTGCATCCCTAGACACTACAGTTGTCTTGATCATTTTTTTAAATTTAAAGTCTTTTAACCTGTAGGTATCCCCTTCCTCCCTTTTTGTTACAATTTCTCTGTTGAAGAACGCTTGCCACTTGACCTGTAGTTTCCCACAATCTGGATGTTGTGTTTGCTTATTCCTGAGGCAGTCTGACACACTTCTCTGTCCTCTGTAATTCCTGCAAATTGGCAGCTAACCCGGAAACAGGATTAGTCTCAAGTTCTATTCCTTTGGGAAGACTAGAGGTAGTAATAGGAAGACTCTAAGAGGCACATATCTATTTTTCTGTTTCTGAAATATTAGCAATTGTTGATGCTTAATGCCTACATCAATTCACTGGGGGTTACAAAATGGTGATATTCTATTGTTTCATTTTAATTTATCAGCTGAAATATTTTTATGAAGGAACACTTCCTGTCATCTACTACTTGGTTTCTAGTGGTACAGTTCATTTGAATAAAAGTAACATATGAGCTATAAGGAGGAATACTGACCAGGCCCACAATCAGCAATTATTACCATTATTTGAAGATAATACCTGCTGCTAAGGAGAAATATATAGGTCACACTAACCTTTCCAGACCCTCCCTCCAAATTTGAAAATTTCTTCTAAAAAATTTTCTTTTGCTGTTTAAAGTCTGTGGCTTTTCAACACTAAGACTGTTAGGTTTTCTTCTTTGTATATAATTCTCTCTCTCTCAGAAAAATCCTTCGACATTATCCATTGCTGAATTTGTACATTTGAAAAAAAAAACATTAAAACCATGTAATCCAGGGCCTTTCCCCAGTTTGAGAGGCTGGGAGAGAAGTTCCAAATCTCAGATAAGTATCATATATTTCACACCATTATTAGGAAAAGCTGATTGACACAATTATAACCAGCATTTGTATGTTGTTATACTTACCATCACTTAAAAACTTGGTAAAAATACTTAGCAATCCACACATACTTTGCCATATGGGTGAACTGAAAGCCTTCCAAAGATTTCCCTTGAAAACTTGTACTTTTTGAACTAACATCACTGAAACTCTAATGCCTATCAACAAGTCATTCATCAACTGTGTCTGAACAATGTGATTTCCGGCAGATTTTCTACAAAGAAGAAAAGACATTATTACAAAACGAAATTCAAATTAAAGTGTTACCATACCCCTCTCCAAAATAAACATTCCTCAAAGGGCCAAAATCAATTTTAGATTATAGTATACATTTATGCCTCTCTTCCATTCTCACAGATATTCCAATTATACAGACATTTATTGCATACTTTTCAACACTTAATTAACCTACCTCAACATTTCCCTCTTTCTCAACTAACCTCACTTTCTTTTTTAGGGCAAAGAAATCAAGAATGAATGAGACAACTTATAAACCCGAACAATCCCTCAACCTTGATACACTTTCTTCACCTAGCTTCCAGGATGCCAGGCGGTCCTAGATCCTCTCCTACTTAACTGTCACTCCTTCTCAGATACCTTGACTAGTTCATCCTCTTCTCCTGATCTCTTTACATTAGAGCTCCCCAGGATTCAGTCTTTAGTCTTCTTCTTTTCTCCATCTAATTCTCTCCCTTGATACTGATCTCATCTAGCTCATAAACGTTAAATTATAATGTACATGCTGACTATTCCCAAATTTTCAGTCTCCAATCCAGACTACTCTAATTCCAGACTCATATATCTAACTTCCTGCTCAATATCTTCACATAGATGTCTAACAAAGATCGCAGAATATGTGAACTTACCTTCAACTCCAAACCTGCTCCACCTGCTGGGATCTCTATCCTACAAAAACAATGTAATCAAACTTCCTTCCTCAGACTGCCTCCACTGCTGCCATATTGGTCTGAGCCATTCTCATCTCTCCCTTGAATCACTGCAATAGCCTCCCAACTGGTCTCCCAGCTTCTACCCTTGCCCTTTTCAGTCTATTTGCAACACAGCAGAACATAGAGTGATCCTATTAAAACATAAGTCAGGGAAAACAGTTTGGCAGTTCCTTGAAAAGTAAAACACTGAATTACCATATGTTCCAGCAATTCCATTCCTAGGTATATACCCAAAATAACTGAAAGTGGGCACTCAAACATATACTTGTACAACAGGGTTTATAGGAGCATTATTCACAATAGTCAAAAGGTAGAAACAGCCCAAATGTCCATCAACAGATGAAAGGATAAATAAAATGTGGTATTAAAAACAATGAAATTCTGTTTTGGGGGGTTTTGTTTGTTTTGGTGGCTGGCCAGTACTGGTATCCAAACTCATGACCTTGTTATTACTAACACCATGCTCTTCCAAATAAGCTAACCAGCCACCCTCAAAAGGAATGAAATTCTGACACTTGCTATAACATGGATGAACCTTGAAAACATTTTAAGTGAAATAAGCCTAACATAGAAGAATAAATATTGTATGATTCCATTCATATGAAGTACCTAAATTAGGCAAATTCAAAGAGAAATAGAATAGAGGTTACCAGGGGCTGTGGAGAGGGACTTAAAAAAAACAGTGAATTTTCTTTTGTACAAATTGAAATTGAGGCACCTATAAAACATCCAAACTGTGATGTCCAAGAGGCAATTGACTAAATGAGTCTACCACTCAAGGAAGAGATCTAACTTGGAGTGATAAATTTGAGAATCTTTTAAATATAAATGGTGGCTGATTCCAAAGAAGTGGATGATACTAAGCAGTCAGAAAAAAATTGAATGAAAAGTACAGAACCCACATTTACAAGATGAACAGAGAAAGAACAGCCTAGAAGGAGACAAAGAAGGAGCTCCTGGTGACGCAAAAGGAGACCCTGACCTAAGATGATATACAGCTATTACTTCTACTCCCACCCAGAACCTCCCTAAATCAACAGCCATGGAATTTAAAATATAAAAAGACAAAAGTACATAAGGGCAGCAAACAAGCAGCAAGAAAATAATATTTCAGAAGCTGCAAAGCAGATGGATGATTGATAACTGATTAGCACAATCAAGAAAGATGAATACTAAGCCAGCGAACAAGCCCAGAAACAACCTGAACGATAGCCCCAAAGGCTCAGAAACTGTTGGTACTAGGTACTCCTTGATGTGGAGGTAAATGTAGGGCTGAAAATAAGAAGGCTAGGTAGAAGTCTGTTTAAGAAGAATAAGAACTATGGATCACACTCCCAAGCCAACAAAACTGGTTTACCTTTAGAGGAAGTAAAACAGCAGGTGTCTTGACAAGAAGACAGCACACACAGATAAGGCAGCAATATACCACAAACAGGAGAATTAGATAAATATATGCAAAATAAATGCCAAAAGGCAACACCTCAGCTTTCACCCCTCACTAAGCAACCAGAATATTAAGATAATTGTTTGGAAGAATGGCTGGCTAATCTACTACCCAAGCAAAAGGACCTAAAAATACGGATATCAGGGGTTCCCTCAAAGAAATAGCTCAGCTAGGGCCGGCCCGGTAGCACACTCGGTAGAGTGCGGCGCTTGGGAGCGCGGAGGTGCTCCCGCCGAGGGTTCGGATCCCATATAGAGATCGGTCCGCTCACTGGTTGAGCGCGGTGCGGGCTTGACACCGAGGGTTGCGATCCCATTGCCGGTCACGGTATGGGCGCAACACCAAGGGTTGTGATCCCGTTACCGGTCACGAAAAACGACAAAAAGGAAAGAAAAAAAAAAGAAAGAAAGAAATAGCTCAGCTAGGGCCGGCCCGGTAGCACACTCGGTAGAGTGCGGCGCTTGGGAGCGCGGAGGTGCTCCCGCCGAGGGTTCGGATCCCATATAGAGATCGGTCCGCTCACTGGTTGAGCGCGGTGCGGGCTTGACACCGAGGGTTGCGATCCCATTGCCGGTCACGGTATGGGCGCAACACCAAGGGTTGTGATCCCGTTACCGGTCACGAAAAAAGACAAAAAGGAAAGAAAAAAAAAAGAAAGAAAGAAATAGCTCAGCTAGACTAGCCTATAATAAAACCTGAAGTCAACCCCACCCATATGCCCAGAGATTCAATCAATTCTCAGTGCCCCCATTCTTAAATATGAATGCCCAGCCAAGGACCATGAGACTTCTTAGGAAAACTTCTAGCAAGAAATAGTGACCAAAACCAGCAAACAAAAAAAAGCAACTTGGAAGAAATAGAGACTATGTAAAAATTTTTTTAAAAACTTAAAAAAAAACAAACTCTCATTAATATCCTCAGAGAGATAACAGAGGATACTTGTCCTGTGAAATAAGAACAGGATGCTATGAAAAAGGAACACTCAAAGGTGGGGGAAAAAACTGTTCCCTTTCTCATTTATTCTCAAAATAATTTATTTGACTTTTAAAAATTAAATATCAAACCTCTAAAAAATAAATTTAAATAATCAGTTCTGATACTAAAGGTGAGGGATAGAAAGAGCACAGTCAGAGACCTCTGTTAAATTTTTCTTTGTACAAAGACAATGCACAACTTCAAGTGTGCACACACACATGCACACAAGTATGCAAACATATGGCACTTGCCTATTTTCTTCCCAGATTTCAATTAAACTCTTCTGCAGAAAATGAAGCACTGAAACAAAAAGAATATAATGACAAATCAGAATTTAAAACTATAAACTTTAACTTGAGTACAAGAAAATATTTTAAATCACTGTTACTTAAAATGATATCATAATATAGAAGCAGAAATTTAAAAGGAAGGAGCGTGATGCACTTCAGTTATCTGCAGTACTCTTCCTACTGCCAAGAAACTTAAAAGAGCCAGTTCCAAAGTGATTCATACAAGCAGTCACTTCTCACAACAAAATAAACAGGACTTACCATTTTTAAGCAGATTATTAACACTTGCTGTACCTATAAACAAAAAAATTAACACTGGTAAGGAGTTTCAGGACCAAAATTAATATAATTTAAAAACAATGACATAATGACAGGTGTTAGCCAGGAAAGTACTAGAAAAGTGCTGGCTTACCCAAGTTAAAGTTCTCCATACAGGAAGATATATTGTCGATTACTTTCCTGTAAGAATATAAATCAGTAGTATCCAATTCTTCCTGAAGACGAGAAGTAAAACTGTGTACAGCCTCAGTTAGAAAAAATTCAGGTAGGCCATTTAGTGAGCTAGAAAAGGAACCAAATATTAAAAAGCTGACAACCTAATAGCACCATGGTATGTGGGGAGGGTGGAGAATTATACAAATGTAGAAATATTGAAGTAAACCTTCAAAATACAGCCAGAAAATTACAACTTCAGACCACCATCACTGGAATTCCCTGGTCTATCATGTCTCATCTGGATTCTCTGCTTCCATGTTGCTTCCCTCCTATCCCCAAGACTATTCTACGAACAGCCAAGGAGACACTATTAAAACACCATACCAGCCTAGGTAAAGAGTCAAGGGCACTGCCCCCTCTGCCTGGAAGCAGGCAAGAGACCACGCCCATGGTCCTAGGTTAAGGAGCCGAGGGCTGCAGCCCCCTCTGCCTGGAAGCAAGCAAGACAGCACACCCGAGGTCCTAGGGATGTAGCTGAGGGCCACAGCTTTCTCTGCCCGAAAGCAGGCAAGAGAGTACACCTGGGGTCCTAAACAAGGAGCCAAGGGCCAGAGCGCCCTCCACCCAGAAGCAAGCAAGACAGCATACCCAGGGTCCTAGGCAAGGAACCGAGGGCCATAGCCCCCTCCACCTGGTAGCATGGAATACAGCATACTTGGAGTCCTAGACAAGGAGCTGGGGGCCACAGCCCCCTCTGCCCAGAAGCAGGCAACAGAGCACACCCGGGGTCCTAGGCAAGGAGCCATGGGCCACAGCCTCCTCCACCCAGAAGCAAACAAGAGGAAACCTGGGGTCCTATGCAAGGAGCTGAGGGCTGTACCCCTGCCCAAAGGCAGGCAAGAGAGCATGCCAAAAAAAACCACTTCCATGCTAGTGGCCCACCACAGCCACAGCTGCTGAAAAAGCAGCTCAACACCACAGCAGCAGCCACCGCCACTATGCAGGCAGCCCACCAGATACTCAACAGAATTGACACAAGGAGACTCACTAGCAGAGACTAGAAAAAGAAGAAGACATCTCTCTTCTCAAAGCCCACTCCAGACTAACAGAAGCAGAAACTGCTCTACAAGATGACCAGACATCAACATTTAATACTAGAAATATGAAAACCCAAGGAAATATAACACCACCAAAAGAAGACAGCACTTCTCAAATACCAGACCTTATACATCAGGAAACACTTGAAATGACTGAGAAGGAATTCTGAGAAACAATCTTAAGGAAACTCACTGAATACAAGACTCAGACAACATAATGAAATGCAAAAAAAAAAAAAAAAAAAATCCAGGATTTGAAGGAAAACATTTACAAAGAGATTAATACCTTAAAAAAGAATGGAACTGAAAGATTCACTCAACAAAATAAAAAACAACCAACAGCCTAAGCAGCAGGCAAGAGTAAACAGAAGAATTTCTAATCTTGAAGATAGCCTTTTCAAAACAACCCAGGCAGATTAAAAAAAGAATTTTAAAAAATTAAGAAAATCTAAGAGAACTAGCAGACAACATTAAGCATTCAAACATTATAATCATGGGTGTTCCAGGAGAGGAAAAAGAAATAGGCATCAAAAACCTATTCAATGAAATAATAATGGAAAACTTCCCAGGTATAGCGAGAGACATGAACACTTAGATCCAGGAGGCTCAAAGATCCCCAAACAGATTCAACCAAAAAGATCCTCCCTAAGACACATTACAGTCAAACTGGTAAAGGTCAAAGACGAAGAGAGAATCTTAAAAGAAGCAAGAAAAAAGCATCAAGTCACCTATAATGGAGTCCCTATCAGACTAACAGCAGACTTCTCAACAGAAACTCTACAGGTTAGAAGAAAATGGCATGATATATTCAAAATACTAAAAGAAAGAAACTGCCAGCCAAAGATACTATCTACATACAGCAAGGGCATCCTTCAGAAATGAAGGAAAAGAAGTGTATTTCCAGACAAACAAAAGCTGCAGGAGTTCACCACACAACCCACCCTATGAAATTCTCAAGGGAGTCCTGCATCTGGAATCTGTAAAATGATAATCACTACTATGAATACATAAGAAAGAACAAAACTCACTGGTAGAACAAAAATGCAAACAAGAAAGAAAGAAACTAAACCTTAACCACCACAAAAAGCCATAGTGACAATGTGATAATGCCCCTACTTTACCTGTGATTTTTGTAATTTCTGTCTTCTTTCCTTTTTCTTGGTCAGTCTAGATAAAGGTTTGCAAATTCTGTTGATCTTTTTAAAGAATTCACCTTCGGTTTTGTTGATTTGAAAATAGAGATATTGTTTTTTAATTCCCTATTTCATATATTTCTATTGTAATCTATGTTATTTCCTACTTACATTTGCTTTTGGTTTAGTTTGCTCTACTTCTATTTTCTTAAGATAGAAGCTTACATTACTGATTTGAGATTTTTTATATTTTTAATATAGGTGTTTACAAGTATACATTTTCCTCTAAGTATCCTATAAATTTTGATATGTCGTGCTTTGATCTTTTTCTCAAAGTACTCTAATTTCTCTGTGATTTTTCTTTTTACCCATTGTTTATTTAGGAAGTACTGTTTAATTTCTACATGTTTGTGAGTTTTCTAATTTTCCTTCTGTTATTGTGGTCAGAGAACATATTTTCTAGTAACTTACTCTTTAAAAAAAACTAAAAAAAAAGGAAAAATTTAAACAAACAAAAAAAATTCATGGAAAGATTCCCATTATCTTTCAATTCTATTTTTCCATGAACTTTTTGAAGTGCCTTGTGTTTATATTCTGTTTTACTGATTTTTTATGCAATTTATGTCACTAAACTTACATATTTAATTTCTGTTCTTGATTTCTTTTTATTAAAAGGACTTGCTAATTTGCCTTTGAAAAGTTTACTCATCTTCCTCTGTTAAAATTAATCTGATATCTGCATGCTTTTGGAAGACATGAGAGAGCTATTTCAAATAATTGTAGAGATTATAAAATGAAATATTTAAATTTTAATAAGTTTTATATCTACAGCTTTTGTGAAAATTAGAAGTCCTACAGAGTATTTTATTATTCATCTGTTATTCGGTTTATATATTTGTTATTTGAACAAATAAATGTCACATCCTTGTTAAAAAAAATTATAAACTGCTTTAAGAATAGATATCGTAAAAAACAAAATGAAACACCATATTACTTCTCTGCCTAAAAGCTTCTAACAATCTCCCTGTCAGTCAGAGTAGCAGCCAAAGTGCTCACAATGATCTACAAGACCCTATGTAATCTGGATCCACATTGCTCTCTGGCCTCATCTTGATCCTTGTTCACTTAGCTCTATGTCCATGGCCTTCCCCTGTTCTGACAACATGCCAAAGTCTTTGCTCATGCTATTTCCTCTACCTAGAATACTCTTCCCTCAAATATATACAGTAATTATTGCCTCATTCCTTTCAGGTCTACACCTTATCAAATTTTAGCAAAGCTATCTAAAGTGACCACCATATTCTAAATTGTAATCCTCACCCTATCCTCAGTGTTCCCTTTTCCCCTTTCTGCTTTACTTGTCTCCATAGCAGGCACACCATCTAATATCTGATATATGTTACTTACATGTCTGTTTTCTATCTTTCCCTTAAAATGTATCCTCCATCCTAGACTTTTATTCATTGCATCCCCAGTTGCTAGAAGTGTTTCAAACATAGTAGGCAGTCAATAAAAATGTACTGAATGGATAAATTCAACTTATATCAATTTTACCTCAATTAATCTAAGTCAAAACTAAGAGGCATGTTTTCATCTGCCTGAACAATTCAAAGCATTTCTGGGGAAAAAAAAATCAAAAATAGGAGTATTCTGAAAAAGAAGAGTCATTAACAGGGGTGACTTACTCTACTACATAATTAAACTACATTATCAAACTATAGTAAATAAAAATGTTGTTGATGCATAAACAAATAGACCCAAGTCTAAAATCAAGCCCACCTTTACACAAGAACATATAACACTATAAGGTGGCATTCCAAATATGTGGGGAAAGATGAACTATTCAACAGTTTGGGAATAAGTGGCTCCCCATACAGAAAGGAAAACTAAGTTAGATCCCTACCTCAAACTACACTCAACACTTAATTCCAGATGGATTTAAAAGTTGAACAAAAAATAAAACTGTTACAAGAAAAGACAAGCAAATAATTCATTTATAACCTTGTATTGGATAAAGCATACATAAGCAAGGCAGAAATCTACACAAAGAAAATATTAGCAGAGTTAATAAAAAAATTTTTTTAATTTGTATAAAGATACCCCTTGTATTGGATAAAGCATACATAAGCAAGGCAGAAATCTACACAAAGAAAATATTAGCAGGGTTAATAAAAAAATTTTTTTAATTTGTATAAAGATACCATGAAGGGCCGGCCCGGTGGCGCACTGGATAAGTGCGCCGCTTGGGAAGCGCGGCGGCGCTCCCGCCCGAGGGTTCAGATCCCACATACAGACCGGTTCCCGCTCACTGGCTGAGCGAGGTGCGGGAGCAACACCGAGGGTTGCAATCCCGTTGCCGGTCCCCGGTCCGGTACGGGGGCAACACTGAGGGTTGCGATCCGTTGCCGGACACGGAAAAAGACAAAAGACAAAAAAAAAAAAAAAGATACCATGAAGAAAGCTTAAAGACAAGTAATGAAATAAAGAAATATTTTGTCATATTATCTATATGGAGCTTTTATAAATCAAGAAAACATTCTAAAAGAAAATGTACAAATGATATGTAATGGTAAAAAGAAAAAGTCACACTCTACACATTAAAAAATGTTCAATCACTAGCACCTGATCCTCTTGCAAGTATAAAACAAACAAAAAAAAAAAACATTTTTTTTTTAATGTTCAATCTCACTAGTAACCTGGGAAATGCAAATTATAACAAGATAACATTTTTCACCCATCAGACTTTGAAAGATTAAAGATTAACATTTTCCAGTGTTGGGAAGATATGAAGAAACAGGCCCTCTTATTTACTGTTGGTAGAAGTGCAACTGGAATAGCTTTTGGGGAGTACAACTTAGCAATATCTATCAAAAATTTCAATAGGCATAACTTTTAGCCCAGAAATTCCTCGTGCAGGCCTTTACCTCAGAGAAATACACATATACAATTATATACATGATTATGAGTGCAGCACTGTCGGAATAAGGAAAACTTCAAAACAAACTAAATATCCATCAATGGGGAAGTCATTAAATAAACTTTGTAATATGTACCACATATATGTGTGTCATATATTTATGGTACACTAAAATGAAGCATTATAAAAAACATTACTGCAGTTTCTCAAAAAATTAAAAATAGAATTACCATATCATCCAGCAATCCCACTTCTGGGTATACATCCAAAAGAACTGAAAGCATAATCTCAAAGAGATATTTGTACATCCATGTTCATAGCAGCATTATTCACAATAGCCAAGACATGGAAGCAATCCAAATGTACATCAACGGACGAAAATGTGGTACACACACACACACACACACACACACACACACACAATGAAATATTATTTAGCCTTATAAAGGAAGGAAATCCTGTCCTATGCCACAACATTAATGAACCTCGAGGACATTAAGTGAAATAAGTCAGTCACAAAAATACAAATATTCCACTTATATGAGATATCTAAAAAAGCCAAATTCATAGAAACAGAAAGTAGAATGGTGGCTGCCAGGGGCTGGGAGGAGGAGGAAACAGGGAGTTGTTTAAAGGGTGAAGAGTTTCAATTTTGCAAGATGAAAAGATTCTGGAGATCTGTTACACAACAATGTAAATATACTTAACACTAATGAACTTAAAAATGGTTACGTGTTTTTTTACCACAATTTTTTTTTTTAAAAAAGGACCATACTGACATGGAAGTATCTTTAAGACATTCCTTAGTAAATAAAGAAGCTACACAGCATTACAAAGCATATAATTCTATTTATACAAAAAGTAAAAGCTAAAATACAACACCCATATACTAAACCCAAAGAAAAGGAGTAGAAAGATAGATATCAAAATGTTAAGTGATAACCTTTATTAAGGAAAGAGAGATAAGCCAAGAACAGTGAAATAGAAGCTTCACTTTTATGACCTGCTATATTGCTTGAAAGTTTTACATCAATATACATATATTCCTGTATTATCTGTGTAATTAAATACATATTTAAACCAAGAACAGATGGGGCAAATAGAAAAGAAAATAGCAAGATGATAAATTTAAACATTCCAATAAATGTAAACAGACAGAACCAGGATTTAGCAAACTACAGCCAACAGACAGACTTTTTTAAGGCCTATAACCTAAGAAGCCGTTTTACATTTTTAAAGAGTTTAAATAAGTAAATCAAAAAAAAGACCATATGAATGAAATTTTTAGTGATATGTTTCAGTTGTCTTATCAAACCAGGGATGGAACTTTGGTTACTTTTGGTGAAACTCAACATTTATGACACCCAACTTTCTTTTTCTTCCTTACCTTGCCAATACTTTCTTCAAGGGATTCTTTAGATTCAAAGAAAGATAAATGCCTGCTAAAATATCCAAACAACTTTTAATAGTGGGATCACACGAGCCATTTTTATCTATCTTCTCCAGTAAAGGCACGATCTATAATACAAAAAATTCAGAGTAATCTTTTCTAATATCAAGTATAGCAAAGTAACAATTACAAATACTCTTTTAAGTCTCAATTATACTGTGAAATGTTTTCCATACTGCACTGTTAAAAACACTAAAAACCTATTTCAGTATTTATTAACCTTTTTAACCCATGCCCCTAACTCACTCTTTACCCTCCAGACCCACCTTTATTGAGAATCACACACCTGTTAACAGCTTAAGGTATAGAAAACCTATTGCACTATTTATTCAAAAACAAGTATACATTTAATTGCTTTCCAAAAAAATATTATACAAGCTCAAATGGTAAATCCTAATATTGAAATACTAATTAAGGACAATCTTTGTATTTTAAATTAACTTTTAAATGTGCCTGCTAAAAAGTTTTCAAAACTAATTAATAAAAGCAACCTTTTGGGCCGGCCCAGTGGCGCACTGGAGAGTGCGCCGCTTGGGAGTGCAGCGGCGCTCCCGCTGAGGGTTCGGATCCCATGTGGAGACCGGTTCCTGCTCACTGGCTGAGCCCAGTGCGGGCGCAGCGCCGAGGGTTGCGATCCTATTGCCGGTCCCCGGTACGGGCACGACACCGAGGGCTGCGATCCCGTTACCGGTCAGTAAAAAAAACAAAAAGGAAAAAAAAATAAAAAAATAAAAGCAACCTTTTAAAATGTGTTTCCACAAAAAAGGCATGCATAATCATCTCCCATCCTATCCATCTACAGCTCCAATTACAGTGGAAGCTTGAACATGGCTTCTATGGCAGCTCTGAATAAAAGGATATTATACGATGAGCAGAAAAAAAAATTTTTTTTTAAAGTTCTTTTTGTGGCTAGGGGTGAGGGGCTGAGTCAAGGAGACAAGTCCCGTCCCTACTTTATCTCAGTTGGAGTGAAAACTGAAGCCATGCTGGAACCTAAAACCACAGGGGTTTTAGAAAAATTTTAAAAGACACAATTTTTTACTTAGCATGCATTTCTCTGAGTTCCTTCTTTTGGTTATATTTTGAACCTTGGTTTCAGGGCAGGATGACATTATTTACATAAGTGTAAAGCTGTTTTTCAGACCCTGAGAAACCAAGGAAGACATCAATAAAGTTATGGTGATTCCACCTGGAGGCAAATCAAAATCCTGCAGGACCCTAAAATAACATCAAGGACAAGAGAAACCTGATGAGAATTTGCACCTGGCCCCTTACACGCAGCCCCTCCGTAGCTCATGTCTCACCCTCCTGCTTTTCACTCCCTGCTTCTTACCCCATAAAAACCCTCAGTTAACTTGAGAATAGGAGATGGAGTAACCTACCATCTCCTTCAGATTACAGGTCCTAAATAAAGCTGAATAAAGCTTTTTATTTTCCACCAAAAAAACCCCGAAAAACCCTCTTCTTTAATGATAAGTTGATATTAAATAATTGGGAATCAAAATTGTCAGTTAATTTTTAAAATCCATAAACTTCAAGATGCATCCATGAATATCAAGTCAGCCTTACCTGCTTAACATAATGGATCTGTGACACTCCATCCGTGAGTTGTACACAACGTAATAGCAAAGCAGCTAGATTTTTCCCTTCCACATCAGCGAAAGCTACATAACACACACACACGAAAAAGTCTTCAGTGATTTAACAATATATGGACATGAGCTGGCCTTTGTTTCGCATTCTATGAATTTTTTAAATTTATAACAACAACAACAACAACAACAAAAAACCATAAGTAGAACTTGGCCTGAAGATAGAATTTTAAGAAAATCATTTTACATCCAAAACTGAAATGTAAGTAACATGGAAAAATTAAATAGAAAGAGTTTGAACATTATGTGCTATGAGGTCCCAGAGATTTAAAAACTCTGCCTGCAAATCAGGAAAGAAATACATTGAATAAGTAAAATCAGAAATCACCTACATCTCAAAGTTTCAAGGTCCCGATGACAAATGGTCAATGCAGCAACTTGCATTTCTTTCTTCTTCTTCATACCCATTTTAGAATTAATAGAAGTCACTGCAAGAAAGAAGAGTTTATGTCATTTTCTAACACAGGGTTTTTCAATTTTGGCACTACTGACATTTGGGGCCAGATAATTCTGTTAAGGGATGTCATCCTGTGTACTGTAGGATGTTTAGCACATTCCTGGCCTCTACCCACTAGATGCCAACAGTACCATCTCCACCCCCCAAGCTGTCACAACCAAAAAATGTCTCCAAACATTGTCAAATGTCCTCTTGGGAGCAAAAGTGCCCCAGGTTGAGAACCACTGGTCTAAGGATTTCTGCTTCGAAAAAGAAAAACTTTTCTAAGCTCAAAAAGAGTTTATTATGGAGCCAGGGACCAGACCACCTGCCCACAACCAAGTACACTGCCAGCAACTTGGGGCCTGCCCAGGGACCCAGGGCATGGAACCGGGGACTGGACCCCCCCCCAACCAGGCACACTACCAGCACCAAGGAGCATGCCAAAAACATCACCTCCATGTGGGTGGCCCACCACAGTAACCACAGCTGCTGCGAAAGGGGCTAGATGTCACAACCACCACGCAGATGGTCCACCAGCCACTGGGTGCACTGACACAAGGAGAGTCACCAGCAGAAACAAAGCAAAGAAGAGGATATCTCTCTCTTCAAAGCCCATTCCAGAGCGACAGAAGAAGCACCTGCTCTATGATAATATTGGGGGACCTGA